CTTGGATGCAATAGAGACCCAAAATCCACCTGCAAAGTAATTGGACAGTCCCTTTTAGAAGGGCCACATGGAAGGGATGATACATACAGGGTGCAGTGTGGCACTGATGTACCACATAACTACCCTCTAGTCCAGTGGTTCTCAACCTTCCTGATGCCGCAACCCTTTAATACAGTGGTGGTGACCCCCCCCCAGCCATAAAATTATTTCTGTTGCTACTTCATACCTGTAATGCTACTGTTTTAATGTTACTGTTGTAGTAACTGTTTTGCTACTATTATGAATCATAAGTAAATATCTGATATGTAGGATGTATTTTCATTGTTACAAATTGAACATAAAGCATAGTGATGAATCACAAAAACAATAGGTAATTATATATTGTGAAATATTTATTTATAATTACAAATAAATGAAATTTTGTCTTGAAGCATGGTCTAGATGGGTAACCGTCTTCACAAGAGGTACTCATAGGTGGGCGTACCAGCATGTGGGCAGACCTGCATGGACAGCGATAGAGGAGCGGTGTCTCTGTGCCTAAGACACATCTTTCCGATGGTCTTAGGAGATCCCTCGGAAAGGGTTGGCTGTTCGACCCCCAAAAGTCAAACTACAGGTTGAGAACCACTGCTCTAGTCCTTTAAGATTTCATTTCCTTACTGTTAAGGTCTTTATGTATTATTAATGCTGTTAGATTTACACATGTTCACTTGCCTGTTTAAGATCTCTCAGCACATAGTAGTCCAGATAGATGGCCCCTCAAAGACAGTGACAGGAGTAATGGTTCCCTCAGGGTGCGGGAGGAGGGGGTAGCTTGATGATTGTATAACCCCATCTGATGGGATTGAACAACAGAACTGTGTGTGAATGGATATATTAGAATGAGTAAGATATTATAAGTAAAATTAAACAAAACAAAACAAAATTCCTGATTCACTTATTTCTGCCCTCATCTTTGTATCTAGTATCGAATGGTTTGTTTTGTTGCACTTTCTCCAATTGTTGTAGTTGATGTATTGAGGTGTTTGTTTTAATTCTTTCTGCCTTATTGATGTGTGCTGTTAGTCACACGTGTGCTGCTATGGCCATAAACTGCCCTCCGAGGGCTGCTGCTGCCAGGCAATAACCCGCCATGCCCCCAGGGCTCCTTGGGAGGGGGGGGCAGGATAGCACTTGGGTGCCAGGACTGCTGTGATGATAAACCCGAGTGAAAGACACCTAGAGCCATCTATGATGACCAAAGCTTGTTCACCAGTCACCCAGTCACACCGTCAGTGCTCAGAGCCAGGGTGCTCAGGAATGTCTATGTTTGGATCCTTTGTTCTGAATTGGAACCGACTCGATGGACCTAACAACAATGATGATGATGACATATTTTGAATAAAAACCAAAAAAGAACAAACAGCCCAACGTGTAACCACTTCCCCACCAGGGCGCCTACGGACTTGGGAGGCATGGCTAAAGTGACTTCTCTTGAGGATTGGGCCCAGTGCTGCCAGCACTAACCCAGCAGGACCCTCCGCAGCACCTTTTTTGGGGTCTACACCACTTCTCCAGTTGTCATTGATGTCACTTTTCCTTGAGTTGGGTTACCCAGAGAATCCTTCCAGAGGAACACGAAAGGATGGTGCTTGGGCTAGGGG